CCTATTGCTGCCGAACAAATATCCTAATATTCCTCCAGTTCCGAGGCCAGTCCAGAACCCAGGTCCTGAATTTTCAGATCCTTGTTGTCCTGAAAAAGCACCTCCAAAATCAGAAGCTGCACCATGGCCAGTACTCTGTGGTCCTGAAAACAAAAACGGAAAGACAGGAACAAAGGCCCCGCAAATAAAACCCTCAAAATGCGACATTTCAATTATTTCATCTATACTGTACTACTTATTAGTAATACTCAATTCTCAACTTATAAACAAGCTATATCCATAAAGGGCATTTGTAAAATACTGGCTTAAAATGCATAAGCACAATGAACATGGAGAAGGGGAAAGAGGGATGTACTCTGGGAAATGGGGGTAGAGAGGAATCTCCCTATAAGATTATATCTCCCCTGCTCAAGATGAACTACCAGAAAATGTCTGCAATTCTTTCCCTTCTGCATTTTGACTGACTTTGAGGGCTCCAGGTAAGAGCTTTCCACAATTTTCTGATGGAAAAAAAAACAGCTAGGTGCTGTGCCAGCCCCACCCCTGGGGCATGCTGAAATGGCCATTGAAACTGGGTATGGTGGCACACGCCTGTAATCCCAGCTCTTGGGAGGCTGTAAACAGAATTACTATGAACGGATCTAGTAGTGAGACCCTGAACACTCTGTTGACCCTTCCCCTAAAATACAAAAAAAAATTTAAAAAGCAGCTAGGTTTTTATTTCTATCAGTTGAACAGTACAGTATTAAAAGCACTAGAAAGAGTCCTGTTCAGAGAAAGTTTTTGTAAATTGACTGAGGTATATAGGAAAACATGCTAATCTTACATGGACAGCACAATGAATTTGTACATATTTGTACATATTCTTGCCACCCACAGCAAGAAACCATGTTGGGCATTCTAGAAGGTTCATTACAACTCCCCAGTAGATACCCACCTATATCTAAGGTAAGTTCTCTGACTTCTTTACTATACTTTAAGGTTTGTCCATTCCCAATCTTTCCATAAATACAATCATTAACTATGTATTTCTTTGTGTCTGCCACATCATGTCTATGAAAGTCAATCCTACTGTTGTACCTATCAGTTATTTTTAACTCATGGCGTAGCAGCCCACCATGTCAAAAACTCACAATTTGCCTCATTCTAATAATTGGTCTGTTTCACATTTTGTTGGTACTACAGAATTACTATGAATGTTCCTGTGTACTTTTTCATGCATGAATGCTTTTACTTCTCTTAGATAAATATCTATGAAGGGAAACAGTGATAAAGGGGTAGACATGTTTGGTTTAGTACATCCTGACAGTTTTCCAAAGTGTTTTGCTGCTTTAACTCCTAAAGAAAAAGCATAAAATTTCCAATCATTTTTTATCATTGTGAATTCTTAGCACTCATTTTAATGTTATTCTTCACACTGGTTTTTGGTGGTTAAAAATAATCTCCTTGGGCTGGGGAGATTGCTCAGTAGTCTAAGAGCCTGCCTGGCAAGCACAAGAACCCAGATTTGATTCCTGGTACGACATGCCATGCCAGTACTGGAAGCCATGCAGGCCACCAAAACTGGGTGTGGTGGCACATGCCTGTAATCCCAGCACTGGGGAGGCTGAGACAGGAAGATCACTACAAGTCCAAGCTGCATAGTGAGACCCTGTACCAAATAACTAAAAGATTAAAAAATATGCATTTTATTTTGCATTTCCCTAAAGACAGATATGAGTACTTGTTCATAGTTTTATTGACCATCTGAATACCTTTTTATTATAAAAGCTTTAAAATACCACTTTCAAGTAGGATCTTTCTCAAACTTATGGAAGGTCTACATATATTCTAGATACAAGTCTTTTATTGAACATGTTCTACAAATTCTCTCCAGTATGGCTTGTCTTTTCATTCTTCTATGTATTTATGAATAGGCTCTTAGTTAAAATACAACTAATGTACCCATCTTGAAGTTTATGACTACTAATTTTTCTGTTAAGAAATCCTTGCCAAAAAAAAGAAAAAAAGAAACCTTTGCCTATCCTAAGATCATGGCAAATTTTCTCCCATGTTTTATTCTGGTAACTTGTTTTACCCTTTCTGCTGAGATCTCTACAATACTTAAAAAGTTAATTACTATGTATAGTGTGAAATATGATACAGGAGTCAAGCAAAATGCTAACAAATCTGATCAAGTTTCACTGATCAAGATGATTTATAATTTAATCAGGCATCCTGAAAATACTCATCATCATATACTCTTACAAAAAAGCAGAAAGAGGTAAAAGAAACTGAAAATAAAAATATAAAAAGACAAATCTACTTTGATTTACCAGTATAACCATTCTCTTTTTCAGAAGGAAGCTCAAGATTCATTAGTTCACACCCACCTACTGACAACCATTGAGAAAGAAAAACCTACCTGTGAACTCAGACTTAAAGCCTGGGGGAGGGGCTCCGCTGGTGAACCTCTGATGATGCTGGGAATATGGAGGATACTCAGAGTATGGCGGAGAAGAATACTGGCCATCACTAAGAAACAATTTATAAACTACAAAGGCGATAGTAAGCAGCACTCCAATGGTAACCAATCCACCAGTGGCACAGGAATTTTCAGAGTATTGCTTATAATAATCAGAGAAAGAGAAGCCCTGGTGTTTTCCAGATTCTTTTAATTTCTTCAGGCCAATGTCTGTATAATCTAAGTTGTACTCCAAGCCACAGGAACCTCTAAGTACATACTGGTCTTCAGAGGAGTCATAGCCTTCACAGCTCACCACAGTTTTTCCAAATCTGCATGCAATATCCAAATCGGTCTTACATTCCCACTGTGAAAGAAATAGAAATAGGTTCTAAGAAACAAAAGATTCTTTTCATTTACTACTATATTACCTGGAGTACATCTATCATAAACCTGCAAAATGAAGGAATAATGAACAAAATTCAGGATAATTAAGGTATATGTTAGGGGAAGGTAAACTAGGGGCCTCAGAGATAAATTGACACTGGTGTTCTACTATAAAATTTTTTATCATTCTAAGGTCAATTAAGACTCAGGACATATAAGAACTTGTACTGTAACGTCATGTAACTCGGTAGTGTCCCAAATTTTCTGATCAAGGAGATTATGGGGCCAAAGAGGAAAGTGATCGATGATGTAGTGTGCCTAAGGAGAGTCACATGGAGAGAAAACACTCTCGCAGGCTTTCACAGAGAGCACATTGGCCAAGCAATGGCCGTGACTCATTCACATGGCTGCACTGACAAAGGTTCTACAATCTGAGGTACAGGATCTCAGGATAAATCCTGAGGGGATTTCACTGACCTTCTCAGACCAAAAAGCTACAACTCTTGTTGCACAGGTCCTGCTTTACCTTGGTCTTAACCATCCAGTAGAAAAGTATGAAGATGAAATATAGGAAGTAAAGCCATGTTGTTATGTTGAGCTGTGGGGGACTCAGGTCAATAATTTCTGACATTGCCAGTTAAACAGAAGACCCAATGCTATTATGGGCTACTGGACTCCTTTAGAATATTTTGCTGAGTTTACACACCTATAATATTCAAATAACGGAACTTAACAAAAAAAGGGTATACAGATGAATGTCCATTTTGTATCTTTGTATTCAAAGTGGTTAGGATAGATATATAATTACATTCTCTTAATGAATAGAATGATTTGTTCTAATGGTGTTTGTAAATAGGATCTCAAGTCCACATCTTGTACAGCAATTAACCACTAAGAAGAATGTATGCAGTGTGTTAATTATTGAAACTGTCCTAGTGATTTGATTTGAAACTGTCTCATTGCTATTTATCAATAAAATTATGAAAAAAAATTTAAAAAGATAGAAAAAAAGAAAGAATCCCCCTTTTTGTTTTGTTTTGTCAGAAATGGGTTTTCCATTGCTGTTAGAGAAGCTGTATAAAGGGGGATATAAATAAAGGACCATTTTGTAGTGAAAAATATATATCTGTATATACAAAATAGAATATGTAGCTACTTTGTCTTAGTTCAATGAGAAGAAAGGTTTGTACTAATAATGTTTAGACAAGACATCATGTCTGTATCTTGTCTGAATAACTACTACTAAAACAACAATATGCAATGTATTAATTATTGTAACTGTCCTACTAACTTGTTTTGATACTGTTTCATTGCAATTTTTCCACAGTAAAATGAATACATTTTTTTAAAGAAAAAAAATTTTTATCATTACATGCTTACAGTAGATAATAATTGCACTCACCAAGAAGTAATGTGTACATAACACATCTTGTATTTCTTCATCCCTTTCTCTCATCCTCCATCTCTTGGTTCCCTAGTGTTTTACTCTTAAGCTGGATAGTAGTGCTACTGAGTATCCTCTTTATTCCTTATACATACACATTACATGTCCTTTTCTATATATTAGGTATTTTTTAATTTGTGAAATGTGAACAAATTTTTTAAATGTCAACTTCTTGCCACTAGTGTCCAAGGTGTTTTATTTTATTTTTTTTCTGTTATTTTAGAAAAGGGTCTACAGGGTGTTCAGGGTCTCACTACTAGATCAGACTTGGACTCGTAGTGATTCTCCTGTTTACAGCCTCCCAAGTGCTGGGATTACAGGCGTGTGCCACTTTGCCCAGTCTCAAACACTGTCTCAGTGCACCCTGTGGGCGGGGCCAACACAACAGGCCAGGGGATGAAACTGGCCCCTGCGCCTGCTTGCAGGCACTTTAATCCACTGAGCTATTTGGCCGGCCCAAGGTGCTTTCTTTAAAAAGGGATATTCTGAAGATCAGTGTCATATATGAAGAGCTGGTAGCTACATATAGCATGAAAGGTATACCACTTTCTTTCTTTCTTCTTTTTTTTTGCGGATCCAAGGATTGAACTCAGACCCTTGTGCTTGCCAGGCATGGGAGATAACACTTTCTGAAAAACAAAACTTTCAGGCCGGGGAGATGGCTCAGTAGAATAAGCGTTTTCCCTGGCAAGTGCAAGGGCCTGAGTTCAATCCCCGGTTCCGCAAAAAAAAAAAAAAAAACACACAACTTTCTATAAAAATTTTTATAAACCATATTAACTTTACCAGGTCTAATCCTATATACTCTTTAATTTTTTTTTTTTTTTGAAAGATAGTTAGAAAAATGCAAAAAAACACTCCATGGTAGTCTTAAAAACTTCACCCTCAGAAAAATAAGAGCGTAGGGCCAGCCAAATAACTCAGTGGATTCAAGTGTCTGCAAGCAGGCACAGGGGCGGGGGGGAGGGGGGGTCGATCTCTGGGCCTGCGGCACACTGACACAGCAACTGAGACTGGGTATAGTGGCACATGCCTGTAATCCCAGAACTTGGGAGACTGTAAGTAGGAGAACCACTATGAGTCCAGTCTAGCAGTGAGACCCTGAACACCCTGTAGACCCTTCCCTAAAATACAGAAAAAAAGAAAAAGAGTGTATCTCAGTGGTAGGGCATGTACTAAGAATGTACAAAGCCCTGGGTTCACATCCCACTACCACCAAAAACTAATAAATAAGCCCAAATTTAGTTTTAAACTGGCAAAATGCTTTCTTAACATTTATTTATAGTCTAGAATTTTGGAGACAGAGTGTCTCTAGGTAGTCCTGGCTGACTTTGAATTCACAGGGACCTTCCTGCCTTGCCTCGCAAGTGCTGTGATTATAGGCATTTGCCACCACACTTGGCTCTTTCTTAATGATGCATAAATATGCATTAAAGTCCATTAACTGATTTTATTGCCTTCCTGTTATGTTTGTACAAATTATCTTCCACTCTCAAAATTCAGATATACTCTTACATTTTTAATAGCTTTATTGAGATATACAATTTACAGACTGCAGTGGTTTTTTGGTATATTCACATAGTTATACAACCATCACCACAATCAATTTCAAAATGTTTTCATCACCCCAACAGAACTCTTAAGCCCCCTAGAAATCAATGTTCATTTCCCACTCAAGTCTCCAACCCTATTAACAGTCTACTTTCTATGTAAATGTACATAAAAACAAAGTATAAGAAGTAAAGTCATGTTGTTATGTTGAGCTGTAGGGAACTCAGGTTAGTAATTTCTGACACTGCCAGTCAAGTGGAAGACCCAGTACTATTATGGACTACTGGACTATTTTGGAATATTTTGCTGAGTTCACACACCTATAATATTTAAATGACGGAACTAAACAAAAAAAGGGGATACAGATGAATGACCATTTTGTATCTGTGTATTCAAAATGGTTAGGATAGATATATAGCTACAATCTCTTAATTCAAAGAATAAAGGGATTTGTTCTAATAGTATTTGTAAATAGGATATCATGTCTGCATCTTATACAACAAATAACCATTAGGAAGACAGTATGCAATGTGTTAATTATCGAAACTGTCCTACTGGAGCCGGGGAGATGGCTCAGTGGAATAAGCACTTCCCTGGCAAGTGCAAAGGCCTGCATTCAATCCCCGGTTCCGCCAAAAAAAAGAAAGAAAGATACTGTCCTACCAATTTGACCTAAAACTGACTCATTGCTATTTGTTTCTCAATAAAATTATGGGGGGGAAAAAAAGGACAAAGAGTGGGTTCCTGTCACCAAGCTGGGCCGGCTGGTCAAAGACATGAAGATCAAGTCCCTGGAGGAAATTTACTTTTTTTCTTTACCCATCAAGGAATACGAGATTATTGACTTTTTCCTGGGCACATCCCTCAAGGATGAAGTTCTGAAGATTATGCCTGTGCAGAAGCAAACTCGCACTGACCAGCAGACCAGGTTCTAGGCATTTGTCACCACTGGGGACTACAGTGGTCATGTTGGCTTGGGTGTAAAGTGTTCCAAGGAAGTAGCCACTGCCATTCATGGGGCCATTATCTTGGCCAAGATTTCCATTGTTCCTGTGAGGAGAGGCTACTGGGGAAACAAAACTGGCAAGCCCCACACTGTTCCTTGCAAGGTGACAGGCCACTGTGGCTCTGTGTTGGTATGTCTGATCCCTGCCCCCCCAGAGGCACTGGCATCATCTCAGTCCCTGTGCCCAAGAAGCTGCTGCTGATGGCTGGTATTGATGACTGCTACACCTCTGCGAGGGGCTACACTGCTACTTTGGGCAACTTTGCTAAGGTCACCTTTGATGCCATCTCTACGACCTACAGCTATCTGACCCCTGACCTCTGGAAAGAGACTGTGTTCACCAAGTCTCCCTATCAGGCATTCTCAACCATCTTGTGAAAACCCACACCAGAGTCTCTGTCTAGAGGACTCAAGCTCCAGCAGTAGCTAAAACACAAATGGTTTTTACACAAAAAAATAAAATGAATTAAGTCTGCCCAAAAAAAGAATACTAGGGCTGGTGAGATGGCTCAGTGGTCTAAAGCACCTACTTAGAACAAGCTTAGCAAAGCATAGGAACCACGGTTCAATCCCCCAGCACCGCATGCCAGCCAGCCCCGCCCCCTGGTGGGCTGAGCTGGCCACACACACACACACACACACACACACACACATAAATAAAATAAAATAAAATAAATTAAAAAAAAAAAAAGAATACTACCACAATCAATGCTGTGTCCCCGTAGTACATCAGATTAAAGGGCTAATGTCTATTACAGGTAATGTTAACTTTGATCACTTGATTAAGCTTGTGTCTGCCAGGTTTTTCTACTGTTGTACACAAAAACGGTATAATATCATTCAGCAGCTACAGGTACTATAAAGTTATCCTTTTTCCTTTAAAATTGATAAATATTTTCAAGAAGATACTTTGCAATTATTCAAATAATGTTTTTATTCAAACTCTTGAGGTTAGTAATTTTATCTGTCATTGGATCTTGCCTGAAACATCCTTTATTGTGGCATCTGTCTAATGCTGAATAAAGAATAAAATGTATTTGTAAAAAAAATAAAATAAAAATGGCTCTACGTGAGCTACATACTGAGTTCAGGGGCAGTCTGAACTATACAACAAGATACTATTTCAAAAATAAAAACAAAGAAAGAAAAAAAATTTAAGGGCCAGAGAGATAGCTCAGCAGATTAAGCACCTGCTTAGGCAAGCACAGGGAACAGGGTTCAATCCCGAGCACCACATGCAGCACCAGCTCCACCCACGGGCACGCTGAGTCAACCATCAAGTCCATGTACAGTGGTGCACATCTGCAATCCCAGCACTGGGGAGGCTGAAAACAGAAGGATCACTACGAGACCTAGCTGCACAGTGAGACCCTGCACCCAAAAAAACTTTTTATTTTTTAAGGATAAGTTTGTATTTTTTGCACAATGAAAAAAATAATAATAATTAGACAGGCTTGGTGACACAGTCCTTTAATCCCAGCACTCAGGAGGTTGAGGCAGGAAGATGGCTTTGAGTTCAAAATCAGTCTGGGCTACAAAGTGAGCTCAAGGAGGCGCAGCTCAAGTGCCTGCCCCAGCCCCGGCCCCAGCGCCCAACAGGTCAGCTGGCCCAGCCATGAGCAAGGCAATCCTCATTTTCAACCATCATGGGAAGCTGCAGTTCTCCAAGTTCTACCAGCCCTACAGTGAAGATACACAACAGCAAATCATCAGGGAGACTTTCCATTTGGTATCCAAGAGATGACAATGTTTGTAATTTCCTAGAAGGAGGATTATTAATTGGAGGATCTGACAACAAACTGATTTATAGACATTATGCAACACTATACTTTGTCTTCTGTGTGGATTCTTCAGAAAGTGAACTTGGCGGGGGCCTGCCCATTAGCTCAGCTCTTTAGTTGCCTGCTTCAACAAAGCAGTCAGGCTCAGGTTGGTGTGGTTCGATCCCCAGAACTCAAACCAGCCAAACCTGCCCTG